ACGCCTTGCGGGCGCGCTGGAGGTGGCCGATAGCCTCAGCAGTACAGCTGGAGGGCTGTAGTATGCAGCAGAAGTCCCGGCAGAGGAGCGTTGCTTCGGCGTGAAGGTCGGGGCGAACACCGGACGAGGTCGAGACTCGCCTGCGGACTGTCTTGATCGACCCGCGATGACGTACCGGCGGCATGCAACTCGCGAGCAGTCCGCTTTCCTGTTCTCTCGCCGCTGCAGTAGAGCAGTTCTCGACACTCGTCTCCTCACCTCGCTGGCTTGACACGCAGCGAGAACCCTGCATCCGCTGAGAAGACCGCAGGCCACGGGAAGATCGCCCGCACCCTTCCGTCGCTCCTTTGTTGCTGCGGACGCGACGGGCAACCTCGCTCGCCGCGTGTGGGAGGGAATGAATGCAATGCTTGAGGGAGTTGATCATCTACCTTGTCGTCGTCTACAGCTCATCCTTCTTGTGCTCCTGCTTCGGCTTCTCCTGCGCCTCCTCCTCCTCCTGCACCGCTGCCGCCGGAGTTGCCTTGATCGCCTTCTTCCTCCTCGGCTGCTTCTTCTTCTCCAACCTGCTTGTCTCCCTCTCCACCTCCTTCAGCTTCTTCCCGACCTCAGCAACCTTGAAAGCCGGGTCCTCATGCACCTTGAGCTTCTCCTGGCGCTTCAGCGCATCATCGAGCCACGCCTGCGACTCCTTGACGAGCTTGTTGAGCGAGTCGAGCTTGTCAGCTGTGAAGCGCTGAGGAGCGGAAGGGTCGGATTTGGTGAGTGCGGCAGAGTCAGGGCGGGTGGTGGAGAGGAAGGTGGTGGTTTTGGCGAGTTGATCGCGGAGTGAAGAGACGGCGGCGGGGCGGGCGACTGCCTCAGTCAAACAGGAGAGGATGTGCTTGACGAGTTTCCTGCGGGAGCAATGCGTCAACGAGCTATTCATACGAAAGAGGATGTAGCGCCACGCACTCCAGTTCCCTCTTCTCCTTTTTCAGAACCTTCATCTCCGCACGCTCCCCTCATCCCACAACCACTCTGCCGTCCGTTCCTGCACCTCCCTGACAGCCCTGCACTCGCTCTCGACCGACGCAGCGACGAACGCCTGGTTGTTCTCGAGGAGGTTGCGGACGCGGTAGACGTAGGATTCGAGCGCGTTGCGCGCTTCTTCGTGGGCGAGTTTGCGCGTGAGGGCGGTCCTGGCGTTGCGGAGTCTGTTCGGCCGCACCTCTCGCCCATCAGCAAGCACGCTCGGAAGCAAGCAGCATCACTGAAAGAGGGAAACGCGAATGCACCGCTTCTTCAACTCCATCTTCTCCTCCAACCCCATCCCCGCCGCTCCTTCCCCACCCTGCGTCTCAACTGTCAACCTACCCTTCGCAGGCGGAAGCTGCAACTGGCGAATCATCTCGTCCAGCTGTTCCTTCTCCTCGTCCGTCAGGCCTTCCTCGGGTGTGGCGGTTCCTTCAGCGGTCGGCGCCGAGGACGAGGAGGAGGCAGTCGAGTTCTTGCCGGAGAACTTGTCGAACAACCCCTTGAGCTTATCCGTCACGCCTCCCTTCTTGCCTCCCTCTCCCTCCTCCTCCTCACGCAACACATGTTCCGCCTTGCCCACCCTCAGCAACCCACTCGCATCCAGCTGGACTCCAACCCTCACAGTCGCGTTGACCAACCGTTTGGCCTGGCCGCGAGGTTGGCGGTAGCGGCTGAGATACCCTTCAAGTGGGCGGAGAAGAGGTGGCCTGATGGCGCTCCTGCGGAAGAGGAGGTGGGGGCGTAGGAAAAGTCGAGTGAGAAGTCGGATGTTTTGCGCAGGGTAAGGGTCTTCTTGGAGGAGGTGACGGAATTGGCGGGGAAGAGGTGCGTGGTGATGATTCGCGAGTCGGCGCCTGCGCACGCTCACTCGACATCAGCACGGAGGAAGAGTAAATGAGGAGAAATCGAGCCCAAACTCACCCGCCTTGCGCTCCGCCTCATACGCCGGATTGCATTGGCAAGACGAGGTGGGAGAGGAGAGATGAGAGAGAGAGAAAGATTCTTGTTTCAAGTTGTTTCGGGTCTAAGCCCATGATGACCGGCAGAGGCTGGCTGCCACAGCGCAGAACTGTAGAGGTGGGTATACTACTGATGGATGGAGGTCATTGGAGCAGACAGATAGGTCATAAGGCGGGTCAGAAGTGAGCGAGAGGAAGAGAAGGTCACGAAATGGAATAGAACAAAGACGAAAGAGTGTGGTTCGAAGCGAGGTGGTTAGACGTGTAGAGGAGTGTGTATTGTGTTGGGAGAAGCTGGACCGGAGCGAAAAGATCGCGGAATGGGTGAGAAATGAGGGTTTTTGGTCTTGGTCTGGACGAGCGATGACGACGGGTTCCAGCGGCGCCGGGGCGAGGCGAGGCAATGTCATGGGGTCCGTTGGAGTGCTGGGAAGGCGGTGTGCGTGGTGGAGGCGGGTTGGGGGTCTTGGGTGAGGAAGGTGCAATGAGGGAGTGGAGGGAGTCGGGGGATGAGGGTGGCGGGTTGTCTGAGCGCTCCCTTCGCGTCTCCTCCCGCCTGTTACTCCTTCTCCTGCTTCTCCACCTCTGGCGACCTTGAGAGTTGCGGGAAACGGCCGGTGCCGTCAAGGAAATCGAGGAGGGCGTCGCGGTAAGAGGGGTTGCCGAGCAGTTGGCCGGCAGTTGGGTTCTTGCGCAGGCGGATATGCTTGAAGAGCGATTTGCGGGCTTCGTCATACAGCGGGCAGGCAATCAGGAGGTGTTCCCGCGTTTCCTGCTCGCCGCAGTCGCAGAGGTCCGTCTGGGTCAGGTCGAAGCGGGGAGAGATGAGGCGCGGGATTCGAGTGCCGAGCGGGTGATTTCGGTGCGGAAGTCGAGGTTGTCAATCAGGCCCTCGATCTGCGGGAGCACTTACAGTCAGTGCCCCCGAACGAGAAATGGAGAAAAGAAATAAAGAGGGAAGCGTACCCGGGCCATCGCAGCCGTTTTGGCGCTCAAGACCTGCTTGACATGCGCGGCCTCCTTCAAAAGCTTTGCCATAGCCCTCTTATCATCCGTGAACTTCCTCCCCTCCTCCAGAGGCTTCCCGGTTGTCTCCTCAAATGCCTCAACCAACAAATCCCTCACTGCACGATCGAAGACATATCCGCCAACTTTGAGGTCGTACCCGAACCCATGCACTTCGATGGAAGTGACATTCTTGAGCTGGGGGGTTTCGGCAAGCGAGAGAGGGTCCGGGAGCATGGCTGAGCGGAGGGAGACGAGGGTCACGCGGAGCAAACCGGAGCCGAGGTCGTAGATTAGGTGGTGGGAGGGTTCGGGGGGAAAGGTGCGTGACATGGCGTAGTTGACAGGGACTGAAGACAATTCAACGTGAATCTTCAGTTCTCATAAATGCAGAGACAGCCGGACACACCTGCGAACCCACGATTGACAAGCCCAACCACCCCAGCTGCATCAATCACTGCCTTTCTCCCTGCCTCTGCAAACCGTCCTGAAACAGTTGAAACCGCCTGGGATGTCAGCAATCCAGCTTGCAGGTTGCTTGCCTCGTGTCTTGCTCTCCCAGCAGCTTTCCGCATCTCGTACTACTGTGCTGCGGCTGACCTGCAATCCAACGGAGATTCCTCTGTGAACCTCCGTTTGTTCCCTCTCCCACTTACTTTTTT